TCCACAGTTAAATCATAAAGGTAACTCTAAGACTAGAAGGTCCCGAAGAAACGTGCTCAACTTTTTGGCTCAGCTCTGGTACTCTCTTGGGTCCCAAGCTAATCGATGCACCCCTCGAAACACAGAAAAATCCAGGAACCCCTCATTTTATCTGTCAAACTTTCATAGCGAATCAAAACACACATAGTGTAGTCCTAGAATTTCGACAAGTACGTGGGGTACGTTAATCGATTTGCTTGGGACCAATAGGCTAGTCAAGGAGTGAGCCAATTTAAAATCGTTAGTTTCCATCGGTAACTCTAAGACCACTGGGTCCCGAAGAAAATTATTATTATTTTTGGCTCACTCAGTACCAGAACAACGGTCCCAAGCAGTCCCAAGCTATTTCACTCACCCCTGCATGTTCTGCATGAATCCACACACCCCTGATGTTATCTGTCAAACTTTCATAGCGAATCAAAACAAACATAGTGTAGTAATAGAATTTCAACTAGAATAGGGTACGTTAATCGTTTGCTTGGGACCAATAGGCTACTAAAGTGGTGAGTCAATTTAAAATCGTTAGTTTCGTATTGATTGTTGGTTTGATCGTGTATGTCTTCAATGAATGAGTGCCTGAAGAAACGACTGCTTCCTGTGGGGTGTGGATATGACTGTATAGATTAATATTCGTTATGCATAGCATCCATTGCTGAACTCCTTGGTAAACTGTCAGATGGATGAATACACGGCGAATGAGAACGACCCAAATTTGAGTTTAGTTCACTCATAATCGCCAGAAGTGCAGGAGCTCAGCGATGAGTAAATTTGCCTCATGTTTTCCCAGGATTTTCCAGGGAAAAATTCCCGAATTTGAGAAAAGTAAAGATTGGATTCACATAGGCTATTGGTACTACTCGAAGACTGAATAAAATTTTCGTCAATTTCCTCATTTTCCGGCAGATTTTTTTGGTTTTCCACAGGAAGCCATGAGACAAATTTTACTTATCGCTGAGTTCCTGCACTTTTGGCGATTATGAGTGAACTAAACTCAAACTTGGGTCGCTCTCATTCGCCGTGTACATTCACTCTGCGATTCTCTCCCGCCTGAATAGACGAGTGTACGGATGAATTTGAGTTCACTCACTCGACAAAAAGTGACACAACAGCGGGGCCCTGTTTACTAAAAATGAACACATGAATAATGCTCGCGTAACTTTTGAAAAGGGCCTATTAACTTTTGTAAACAACTTCCTAGGTCCTTTTCACGAGAACCGAAGTACGCCCACGCAAACCAAGAGCACTATCGGGAAGGGGAGAATATCCTCTGCCCTATGGTGTTGTTAGTTTGCGTGAGCGTATTCGGTTCGCGCGAAAAAGGCTTAACAAGTTTTGTGTACATAAGTTGATAGACCCGTTTCAAATGTTACGTGAGTATTATTCATGTGTTCATTTTTAGTAAACAGGGCCCCGCTGTTGTGTCACTTTTTGTCGAGTGAGTGAACTCAAATCCATCCGTGCACTCGTCTATAGCACCTCAGTCCTAGGCGAATAATATCACAGGTGGGCAGGAACTCACGGTCTCCCAGTGTTGGTGAGTACTTTGCCGTTAATGTTCACCAAAAGTTCACTATTTTGCCATACAGAAATTCAAAACAAAATTTTTTTTGGGCGGATTTGGACGGTTTTTGACCTGTTTCATATGAAGGTGTATGCTGGTCACAAATGCCGTGCCAAACTGATTTGATACTCAATTAATAAACCTTTGATATAAGGAGCATTTCTTATAGTAAAACTTGCCATAACAATGTGGGCATAGTTCCTTTTAGTAAACAAAGTAACACTTCTTGCTACTGTCACCTATGTATTATGCGCCTAGACCTCAGTCAGCAAGCACAGCATTCGTCCTCTTTCGGTCGCAGCTCATTAGACAAATAGGACGGTACCACACGGCGTTACCCATTAGGGATCGTCCATTAATTATGTCACACTTTTATGGGGGGGAGGGGGGAGTTTGGAAACTGTGACGGGCCTTACAAAAAACAATTAAGGTCCATATAAAAAATGTGACAAAGGGGGGAGGGGGGGTTGAAAATGGGCCAAATCTGCGTGACATAATTAATGGACCTTCCCTTAGCGCTGGGTGATCCTCGTGCGGAGATCTATTAAACTTCCACACTTCCGTTTATCAAATCACTCAACGGTCCTACATTTTTTGACCGGATCTAGCCTCTTGTCACTTTTCCAAGGACGTTCTGGAGTGGTGCAAGATGAAGGGGGTAAATTTTGTGCCGAAGGATCTCAGTCTCCAAACACACCGGAGTTGCTGCCGATCGATACGGGGCTATAATGAAGCATGAACTCCGTTAGCATCCTACAAAGCAGGAAATCTCGATTACTTTTTCGAAGGGACGTATCAGCTTGCATGCATTGCATTTGCGATCGTCGATATAGCGTAACTTGAAGCTCGCCCACGCATGCTAACGCATCAGATAGGGGAAATTTTCCCTACTTGCTAGTGATGTTCAAGGGTGTAGCCAGGTTTCGAGCTAGGGAGTTTTATTTAAGTTGTCACATGCTGGGTTTTGGCCCAGGTTAAAAATTAGCCACTTCCCTGGGGATACCCGGAACATATCCGGGTGAGGCCAACGGGATCCTGGGCATTCGATATGGCCACCGTTGATCTTGTTTTCGATTTCGCATGTGTGCAGGTAACTTCTAGTCTTAAGGCCGGTATTCAGTGAAACATGTTCCAGCCATATCTATGGAACTGGTTGACCGATTCCAACAATATTATCCAGCGCTTTATGGGACCATGATACTTTTCGTTTGGCGGCTGTTGAGTGCAATTTGATTTACTGGTTGCCGATAATCATGCCTCTCAAATTTTGCAATACACACACAGACACACCAGAGCGTTAGTGACTTATCATAAAATTAATTATTGAAAATGAACTAATCAATGAATAATCTTCATCAGACAAGAAAAGCCTCAGATCACGTAGCGCTGCTTTTATGAGTTCTCTTAATTCACCTTAAGATTATTTCCGATTTTTTACTATTGTCCCAATAATTTTCTGAAGTTTTCTTCGATAATTCTATTAAAAATTCACAAAGAAATTTCTTATTATTCTACTGTGATTCAACCCAGAAAAAAATATTGGAATTCTGCGCAAATTTATCTTGGAGCTCTGCCACACATATTTTATAAAAATTCACTTGGAATTCACCTCAGAATTCTCGAAAAACTGCTTCAGAAAATTATCCTTGATAATTCCTTCGGAATTATAACCGGAAAATTCTATTTCATTGGTATTCTTCTCGGAATTACCTTGGAAGTAACCCTTTAGTGTACTCTAACCGTTGATCATTAAAGTTATAGCTAATGTATTCTCGCGTGTGTATTTTTTTTTCATTCTGTACCGAATTCCTGACGCTGTATTTTGCTGTGGTTCCCCCAGTCCATCCGTCACAGTGAACCTACATAAACTTTTGAGAAGCTCTTAGAAATTCAGGTTTGTCCAGAGAACTTCACGGAAGTCAATTAAACTAGAGCGAAGTTCAGAAAACTGAAGTAAAGTGTAATGAAGTTCCAAGAACCTTAGGGATGATCTAGAGATCATCAGGGATCCGGAGAGATCAAAAGGGCTGTTCTAATAATTTAAGTACAGATACATAAAAATCTGTAGATTCCGGACAGCTCCATAAAAATAGCAAAATTTTGAGCAGCTTTAATACGTTCCAGAAGTTTCAGTGAAGTCCAGAGAATCCCTGAATAATCACCAACAAAACGCGACGTGATACAAGCTACAACTCTTGTCGTTCAAACACTTGTTTCTTTTGGCACACTACACCAAAAAGTGCTAGTTTTTGACACAGTTTAAAATAACATAACGGCATACTTTTCCCAACCAAAATATCTGTGTCGAAGTGTTTCTGTTTCGACACTCTTTTGAGTGCCAAAAACTTGGTATTCAACTCGTTACAAAGTTCGATTTTTTCAGCATTTGTCGTAACTATCCCACTCGGCATATATAATATACGACTCGTGCTGTAAAAATATCATTTTGCAACTTGTCGCACAAACGACTATTTTGAACACTATAATTAAAGACTGGATAATTGCTCTAACATGCTTAAATAAAGAGCTATACTAATTCTGTCTTGAGCAAAGGTGCTTTCAATGATATGTTCTACTACTTTCCTGGAGAATGCAACCACCTATGGACCTCAAATAGAAATGTTATAGATTTCGGATTATAGTTTGTGGTCAAATTGTGGTGACAGATCTCACCAATCTCATTCATCCAAATCAATCTTCACGACGTCTCAAGCTTCCGAAATCTTCACCAAACTGACACACCGTTTCTGCAATTGCATTCTGTCGTTGAGGTAACTCTACCAGAAGGTCCCGAAGAAACGTGCTCAACTTTTTGGCTCAGCTCTGGTTGTTTCTTCGGTTCCAAGCTAATCGATGCACCCATCGAAACATAGGAAAATCCACGAACACCTCATTTCATCTGTCAAACTTCCATAGCCAATCAAAACAAACATAGTATAGTACTAGAATTTCGACAAGAATGGAGTACGTTCATCGATGTACTTGGGACCAATAGGCTAGTCCAGTGTGAGCCAATTTAAAATCGTTAGTTTCCACCGGTTGATTCCATTGTCACCGGCAGCAAGAGGGCAGCTGTCAACTCGAGCCGTATTCTTCAAATTTTCTCCATCCAGCATTTACGTTGCTAATGGGGTCTAGGGTGTCTGGTTCCCTCCAGAATTATCCTGGTTCCCTCCAGATTGTTTTGAAAATCCTAATACAGACAATTTAAATTATACAAATCTTCAAAAAAAAAAATCACCCTTGGCACCCTCATTAGCTACGCCAATGCCATCCAGGATCCGGCTTTTGCTCTCCTTCTCTCACCTCTCACCTGGCATTTCTACAACCTATTCTCGCTACTTACAACCTATCCCTTAATCACTAGAGCACCCTCCCTTGGCTAGCGGATCCCCCCGCCGACCCCTTGCTTTAATCATACTGCGGATGTCAAGAGTACTCGTGACTGTGGCTGCTGGACGAGTGATCCTTCAGCTTGTGGGCCGATTCCTGCGAGTTCGGGTGCCTCGGCAGGTAGTTGATGGCCGCCTGCAGCTCGCTGATGTCCGTCGTCTGATGTGCGTCCATCGTCGCCGGTTTGCCGTTGTTTTCCAGGACGTTGACCACACTGACCACCCGGCACGGGCCGTGATTTCGCTGAACGGGGGCTGCCGCCCGCATCCGGTACTCCTCGGTACTGTGGTACTGCGGTCGCCACCGAACCGACAGCGACCGTTGCCGATCTGCGAACGAAGGGAGAGAAAGAGGGGAAAAACGTTGAAAAATCAATTTGAGCTTGCATTTAATTTTGCTTTTTTCCAGGAGGCGTACGGCCGGCGGGCGCAATGGTGTGGCTTTCGTTAAGTTTGAATTAGAGCTAATTGACGCAAATTGCGTCAAGGTATGAACGCAGTTGGACTGATTTACGAGAAATTATCCCGTCCATTGTCTGCTGTAATCAAGCAAAGTGCAAAAGTGTGCCGCAGCACGTAACCAGCTGTGAAACGATAATCTACTTTGTGCTAATGAATAAGACATGGTGGCGACTTGTTTCTCAACATGACTTTTTCAATCTATGTATAATAGATGCTTAGATTTTTTTTCGAAAAATTATCCATCAAAATGGCTAGCTATATGTGGTACAACTTCCAAGAAATAAGACTGACTGTTTGTTAAATGGGGTACAATATAGAACTAGTGTCGTAAACCACAGATTGTAAGCAAACTGATTAGTACCTCTCTGAAATAATTACTGGGTGATGGTCAAAGCAAAGGTAATAAACATTTTATTTATCGTCGGACGTCGGTTTTGGAAATTCAAGATGACCATTTTCATTGGCCCCCTAGTGTGGAAGGTGTGTTCGTCTGTCTAATTTAATTTCTTTTCTATCATTGGAATATAGATCCTGAAGCCCTTCAGTAGCCAGGGCAACGGATGAACGAAGAGTGCTAATTACGATCTAGTCTGCTTTGAATAATTCAGCAGCAGGGCAATAATCAAACCGAGGAGGAATGTACATGTAAAACATCCGTTAACTTGATTAGGGCAGGGGTGCGACTTGAAGATGAATCTGCTTGAGCCTGATTACATGATGCCTTTACCTTCAAACGAAGATAAGAAGGTATGTGTCTTGGACAGTTTTATTCGTTTTCTGGTGTGCACTTGAATTAATTCCGTTTCAGTAGAAAGCCTTTCGATTCCTAGGCGATGGGACCCATCTAAAGTTCGACGTGAATGTTAAATACAGGAAGGCAACATCGTGTTAGGGAGTCCTGCAAGTCCTGTTTTGCAAGATATACTGGACATCCCTGTTTATCCTTCTGTCTATTCAGATCTATTATTTCCATCCTGCTCGCATGGCATTTTTTTATATATAAAATGCATTTGAATGAGTGTCGTTCCCCTGGCTTCCCAGGAAACAGCTTAGTTTTTCCACAAGCCAAGCTAAGCATAAAAAAAAACAAACCAAATGAATTCCACCGAAAATAAAGCCGGGTTAAATTTTTGGGGATATATCCAGTTTTTCACACTCCCATTTGACATTAGACGCATACCATTATAGGAATGCATGGGGGCCTCATAGCCTAGTCAGTAAAGGCACGGTATTACCAAGCCGGAGGCGGTGGGTTCGATTCCCGGTCCGCTCGAGGGAATCTTTCGGGTTGGAAATTTTCTCGACTTCCCTGGGCATTGAGTATCATTGTGCTTGCCACACAATATAAAAATTCATACATCGTTGGCATCGAAAGCTCTCAATTTATAACTGTGGAAGTGCATTTAGAACACTAAGTTGAGAGCACGCAATAAGCTAATATGCGCTACTTAATAAGCTTCAAATGCGAATAAGAAAAAGATTATAGCAATGCAGGTAGGAATATGTTGACGTGAATCTCGCTTTAATGAAAGCTGAGAACACCTCGGCACTTCCACGATAAATCACTGCGATGTTGGATAAAAGGGTTGGGATTGCAGCTGGATTCGTTTTGTTAAACGGTGTGCTGAATTAAAATGCTAACAAATTAAATAGCACGAAGAAGCGTGGGATTGAACCCGCAGTTTTCTGCTCAGGCCACCGAGCTTCTTATATCACAAAACAATTACGATCAAGTTTCCGTTAAACTTGTTGTTATCCCGGCGGCATCCTCACTTACGACTACGATAACAACTGAGCTGAGAGGGAGAAGGATTTGATGTGGATGTCAAATCAACACGTCTATAACAAATCCTTCTCAAGTGAAGTTTTTATTGTAGTAACAGGAAGTTTTACAAGGAACTTGGTCGTAATTGTTTTGTGAAATATGGAGCTCGGTGGCCTTATGGCGACCGATTGTGCTTGCTGAGCAGAAAGTCATGCGTTCAATACCACGTTCCTTCACATTATAGAGTTAAACTTTGAATCAACGTAAAGTGTTTAAGTTGGAGGGCCGTGTACGAAATAAAAGTAATTTTTGAGTTTTAGGAATCTATAACACACTGCCCTCCAACTTAAACACTTAACGCCGATTCAAAGTTTAACTCTATAATGTGAAGGAATGTGGTATTGAACGCATGACTTTCTGCTCAGCAAGCAAAATCTGTCGCCGTAAGGCCACCGAGCTCCTTATTTCACAAAACAATTACGACCAAGTTCCTGTAAAACTTCCTGTTACTACAATGAAAACTTTACTTGAGAAGGATTTGTTATAGATTCCGATCAACGCGTCTTTCCTTAAATTCCAATATTATTTCTTTTACATACTAGTTTACTCTAGAGTCGGTGTATAATGAGTCACGCCAAGAGTGAAGCCAAGTCTACCTATTGAACCGTCAAAGCGGCTACCTATCGTGCAAAGTAAATAAACATTACGATGCTATGAAAGGTTCACGAAAGGTATTGCAATAAAATATAAAATATAATCGAAGAAATGAGCATAAACACGCAGTGAGCGTTAAATTGTCATGGGATACGCTCGGTAATGATTAGTAATGAGAATTTCTACTATTTTTTTGTTAAGATAATTTGACAAAATCACTGATATAATGATTTACTACAGCCGCAGTATTTTTTCTCTCGCTAGAAGTCATTTGAAGTTGTTGTAGAAGTCCTCTGTTGCCAAGTGAAAAAAATTGGAATCTTTCGAAAACCGTGATGCGAGTTCAACTGTTTTTCTCTTGGCGTGACTCATTATACACCGACTCTAGTTTACTCTATATTGTGAAGGAGCTTGAGATTGAACCCATAATATAATGCTCAGCTGTGGATTGAAATTGGTATCCAATTTGCAGCGTTTCACCAGATTTTTCACTACCACAAGATCTCCAAAGTCAATTCTTGATTCTTTCGCCCACCTTCTTGTTTATTTTTTTCCTTGATTTGTTTTCCGTCGATCTTGTTTTCCGTGCTGAGCACCAATGCTACCGACGCCAGGAAGGCAGCTCCCACATCTGGACCCTACCTATCGACCCATCTGAGATCTAAGATGTTATGCCTCAGAACTTGCCGACGGCGCCGACTGGGATTGAACCCAGGCCTTCTGGGGTGAGAGATAATAACGCTTACCACTACACCACCGGCGCCGCTGCCCACCTTTTTGTGTCTCGATATTCTTTTCGCTTTTCTTTCTTCGCTTTATCGTAATTTTTCGCATTGTTATAAACCTTCAAATGAGCGACTTAAGCAATCATAGGTATTTTATCCTTCAAGTTTCTCCCTAGCATCAATTTTGCTGGGCTTATATTTGTTATTGAATGGGGTGTATTACGGTAAGCTATTAGCGAAGACTATAAATCAACTCTTCGCTATTAGGAAATTCTGTAAATCCTTTTTTCCAATCTCCAATGTCTTTCTACCAAACCATTTTCGAACGGGGCGTATGGAATTGAGTGCATGATTCTAACCCCATATGGAATTGAGTACATGATTCTTACAAAATTGCTCAAATTCAATTGATGCAAACGGAGGATCATTATTGCACACAATTTCTTCAGGGTATCCAAATCTTGAAAACATGGTTCTTAACTTGCATATAGTAACCTTTGCCGTGGTTGAAGTCATAATCTCAATTTCAGGATATTTTGAAAAGTAATCAACAACTATCACTTTATGGGGTGGCTTTCTCAGTCTTTTAGTAGAAACGATTATTATTATTTTTTTTTTAATTTTATTTTTTTTTTTACAACCACTAACACAAAACTGCAACGCATCATCGAACGCAAATCTGGTCAATGGGACCCCACACCCACATGCAACGAAAAGTCCATACTCAATACAACCTAGGTTCAACTACCACAAGAGACTGCAACGCTACTCAGTCTAGGGCCCAAATTTGCTATTCCCTCGGACATCCTAAATCCACGAAACCTCTTCCACATGATTGCCGATATTGAATCTATTCTCAACATCTCACACTATAAGGCCATTCGCGATCACAACAGATGCCGAATATCCACAGCTATACAAAACCAAATATCCAGAACACGGTCAAGACAAATGGACAATCTAGTTTCGAAATTCTGTAGACACGCTGTAACGACCACAAAACAGTTTATGGAAGAACACAAAGATATCGTGATTGTGGAATCAGACAAAGGAAAGAGGATGGTGGTTATGTACACAACTGAGTACGATCATAAAATGACACTTTTGCTAAATGATCCCACCTACAAAGTGCTATCAAAAGATCCGACACAATCAATACAACGAAGGAACAACGCAATAGTCAAACGGTTAAACGATCTTAAACTGATTGACCAAACAACCACTAATCGCCTCACAAGCAAAACGGCCACCTGCCCACGTATATACGGTCAACCGAAAGCCCACAAAGATGGTATCCCCCTGCGCCCAGTAGTACCCAACATAACTGCACCGACATACAACCTGTCGAAGTTCATCGCAACAATTATGTCAAATGGTTTCCAGAGTGAATACAACATCACCGACAGCTTCACGTTCGTTGACTACATCACATCGGTTACGCTACCAGCCGGATACGTGTTACTATCTTTCGACGTAGTCTCCCTCTTCACAAACATACCGAAGAAACTGGTCGAACACGATATCATCATGAACTGGGACACTATAGGGAAAGCAACCAACATAAACCTAGATTTTTTCCTCGAGATGGTTAATTTCTGTATCGACAGTTGCTATTTCCAGTTTCGCAACAAATAAAGGGTGATACGGTCAAAATTTGGTCAAGGGAAAACGCGTGTAAATCGGTGAAATCGTTTATTTAAAAAATCAAATTAAATTTCTTTTTC